AGCTCAATACAACGGAATGATGAGCTTAGCACGACATTTCTATGCCTAAAGTCTAGAATAGATTAGATTTCTCTTTTGGCGCTTGCCTCAAGATCACAACGACCAATTGCATGCAAAGTGTGTAGACCTGGCATGTTGATTCACTCGTAGAAATTTCACAAATGCCATTATTTCGGACGTGCTGTAAATTATGTACCCCCCGGCTGCAGTAGTGAAATAATGAAGGGGATGGGAAGGAATTTCCATTCTGGGTCAATCTTGGGTCAATCCTGCCTTCGATCTCGCGATGACATCCTATCATCCAATACACCAGCAACCCGAGAGCCATTCGCCTCTTCACCAGAAAATACTCCCAGCTGATATCTCCCGCAAGCAGTACCATATCTATATTGGTTTCCGCCCCTGCTGGTCCATCCAACGATAATCCCCAACGATACCTCCTCTGAATACACCAAAGAATATGGTGACCCGCCTCGAGGATCAAGCTGGAGCACTTTCCACTTCTTGATGTTCTAATCTGGTCGTGCTATAGCTAGCAGTGTCCTATGAAGAAACATCGAACATTTTGAACAGTGAATGCTTGGGCCCCCATGAATCTGAATGACATGATCTCGGACGCTGGACCTGCCAGAAGTACAATGCAGTGTATCTCAGAGCATCCAGAAAGAGGAGGCTCTGGAAGATGCAATAACGGATCTTGGAATGTATATGGCATACCAATTTCTCTGGATCTACAACTACAAATAGACGAATATCAAGCAAACGAGGGCATTCTAACACTAACACTACAGAACATATAATCAAACGTAGATAAGTTTAAGAATGCAGTTTGGGCAAGGTTTGGAGGACTCACGGCATCGATTGCTTATGGTGCGGGTCAATGCGGATGATAATACCATACCAGTAAACGTCTATACAGTAATTCTGCTACATAAATCACGACTTGAGTCGTTCGAAAGTGAAACGTAAATTCAGCCCTTGAGCAGCAGACCACCAACACCTTCTCTTTAGTTCGCAGTTACACTCATATAAGCGATGCGAGGATACAGAAAGCAACAAAATCGACTCGACCCAGATGCAACCTACAACAATGTATCAAATGAAAAAAGATTGATTAGACACAGTCATTCTCTGACTTTTGGGGTCTGCTTTACCTGTCAGTCCGGCTGTGATTCCCGTACATACACCAATCCATATCAAGAACCTGTTCATGAAGAATCATAAACATGCAATATTCAAATACCACGGCGGTTTCATGTCAGAGCTCCGGAATTGGTGGTCCGGGATGCAGCAGGGCCCGCGATGTCGAACCTTCTGGAATCAGTTTTGAACAGACATAATCATTGCATTAGAAGTGCACAAGTCCAAATCACTGCAAAGTATACCATGCTCCATGTGCAAACAATGAATGAAGGACTTTTAGACGCACCATGAGTTTTCGCCCTGTCTGTCAATTATTTGTGGGTCCAGGATTGTAGTCAGTCATTTCGGTAAACCACCATCATAAGTCTACATTCAACATGCCCAATCACCGCAGTGTTCGCTGTTCCAAGAATCAGCTGCTCTCTCTCGCCGAACAAACGCGTCATCGTCATCGTCTCAATCAGTCCGGAAGTATTGCGTTTAAAAACTGGATGGTTCTATGAACAAGGATGTATATGTGTGATTGTTCTGATACATCTGGTTAGATGAATTGAAGCTGGAAAGTACCGTGAAAAAATGACTCACCTCTTCGAATTGCCTGCTTGCTCATTCCGCCGTGTCGGTGTCTTCGAGAAAAATGTGGCGGGAGGGCGAGGCAGTGAACGACGGCGTTCACTTGCGAAGATTTCCAGGAAAGAGCAAAAATAATAATTACACGCAGGTACGGGGATCATTTATTCAAATGATCTTTTATCGTTCTGCATATATTTGCAGCATGGAAAGCGCAAGTTGCACAAGGCTAGGCATTCGGTGGATCCGTGGCAAATGAGGAGCTGAGCTAGCCAATTCCAGTCAGGTCAAAACAAGTCAAAAGTTTCGGAGCTCTCACAAGACTGGTGGCTGGTAAGCTAAGCGAGGTTGTAACAAGAGGTCAAAGCGGTTTCACCAATCTTTGGGACGACAAATACCAAGTACGATCTTCAAGCTGTTGAGTTCCTTTCTGAGGAGAAACCGATAAGATCTGTAGCAGCACGATGAATACGCGTTGTAAGTATATTAGATGATACCGCGGAAAAAGGTACTTACGTGTACTGCATTTCGACGAGTCATCGAGAAAGCGAGTGATGTTTAATTCTCAACTCGTCAACTTGCTAGATAACCAGTCTAAGGTCTTGGAGCAACAGAGGGTCCTTGATCATGCTTTCAATACAACAACTTTATACCGTGAATGGTATAAAAGACAGACCTTGGTGGCGTACTTCTGACAAAACCTATTCTTGGACTACATCCTCTTCTCAATCAACACAGGTCTTCCAGCAATGTGTCCATTCCCGGTTGGAACTGCTCCGCTTTTGACGACAAATTCTACATTTGTCCCACCTATCACAGTAAGCGTGGCAACTCGTTGTTCAAAGATGTTGAAGAATGAGACTGACCAATAATCTAGGGCAAGGGTCCTCCAGTCAGATGCTTGCAGTCCACGAATGAGGCGCCGCGACTTTTCATGCCAATTGATGAGAATTCTCTCCCGCCGTTCTCCTCAGACCTTCTGTCGCTGCTTCCCGAGTGCTCGCACCTGACGAGCTTTGATTTGATAGCTTCAACCCCTCCGCCCACTGTCTTGCTCAACGAGTCTTCCGAACACGTTTTCATCCGTGCCAAAACACCGGTGAGCATTACCTATATCTCCTGGCCACGACATCTAATTCTCGATGATTATGTTTTCAGGATAAAAACATAAAAAACCAGAATTATACAAAGGGCCAGGAAGGCCGCCATCCGCTATCCCCATCTCCCGGCTCTGGGGATGCGGTCCTGTCCTGCTGGGAAACTGGTTCTCAGTTTTCCTATCATGGGTGCGACCTGGGAGCGTTCGGCCCCATCCCTTGCCAAAGTCAAAGGCGTTCCACGATGATTCCGGATCGTGAGCACGATGCGGTTGTGCGCCAGCGCTTTGGGCAATTTTGTGCTCAACGGATACAAAACAATTGTTTTGCACCGCGCATGCACAACAAAGTTTTGATGCCAGACCCATTGGTTACACCCCAGGTTCAGATGAGAGAAGTCGAGGACCTGGAGAAGGTAACAGATAGGAAGTTAGTGACGGGGGTACCAGCAGCATCACTATTGTTTTCCACATAAATTCAATCAACGAATGTTTCAGAATTCATTTTTTTAAGGAATCTGTATGAGGACGGTGAACGTTCGAGTGGAGGCTCGAGGAAAGCAACATCTCGAACCATCGTCGAGTAGATGAGATGAGATAACAACTTGAAGGCGTGGGAGTGCCGCATACAAAGTTCCAAAATTGCTCATCATGGAAGATCGAGGATAACTATTTTTTGTCACGCTTCAAGTTTAGCTGTTCTGTGTTACAAATGCCGCTTTTGAGAGTAAGGTCAGCTCTACATTTCTAGTCTTCGTTGTGGTCAGTGTAGGCATTCATAATACAGAGCGAAGGGAGGGTGAGAGACAGCATATTTATGGTTGCAAATCATGGGTGAGTTGAACCATTCACATCGATATCTACTCATTGGCTTGACTAGTTTCTCCCCATTCCCCCGACACTTTCCCCTCGGATCGATCTTCAGAGGTCTCAACTTCACGCATCAACGCATCAACGTCGAGCAACTCCCTTCCGATGTTTCTTCTGAGCGCCAGCCAAGCTTCCAGAATTGCGTTGGTGACTACCAGATATCACTCAATCCATTGTCCCTTCTCCTCGTACGTACTTCCTTCCCTTCTACGTACACTTCCCGATCCTCACGCTGAGGATACATTTCACTCCTTCGCGAGATTTCCAGATGTGTAGATAGCTCGCTTCTTCAAGCTATTACTCTTGACAACTCAACGATTTGGCGTGATCGTGCTTGGGTTCACTGGAATCTTGGAACGACAGTCGGCCACCCATTGCCCCAGGAGGATGATTAAAAAAAAACCCCTGTACGCTCCACGACTTCTCAAGCTTGTGATTGGGCAAAAAAGTGTGTTTCAGAGACCCAGAACGGAAGAATGTGTCCACACGATAAACTATTCTCGTGGAATGCTCCAAATTCGATTGCTTGGAGTTTATCAACGTTGGTTCACATTTATTCTCATCTGTGGTCCAAGGACTTGTGACTGCGGGATTCCGGGACGATTCGACATACCTAACGGGACAGTACCACACAATACATCGACGTGGAGAATGACCTGGATCTCAAGTTGTTTCTAACCTAGATATTCCGATCGCATCGTGAGCAGTCGACATGAACGGGAAGCGTCGGGTGGACCTGAGCGTCTGACTGAAGATCAGTATTCAGTGGAGGGTTTCAAGAGCATAGGTGGACGAGTGTGCTATGTATGAGACTTCCCTCTCGTAATTTGTCCTCAGAATCGACTTGTGCTTCGTCCTCAGTTCGGATTCGCTCTCAAATCATCACTGCCACCGAAAATTTGTATCCTGCTTCACCTGACCGGACACCATGCATGATCCAAACTTTTCAGACCGTGTATCAAGACCGTTCCCTCCTCCGGATAGCGCGGTTTCCCATTGACTATGTTGTCTCAGAACCTTGTCGTTATCGTGCGACCGAACGTGTTTGTTCGTGTTGGTTATAGAGTTGGTTATGGGATATGGATGATGGAGGCCTATACGCAGGAGATCATAGTAAATACGAAGACTTGTATTGTTTTGCTCGAAGTTAATCCTGCTTGGCCTGGTATCGTTTTTAGAAACATTTATATTCAACATTGACCACCTTGATTCTGTGATTGACTTACGGCTTACGGTCGCGGCGTACCTACGTCGAGATATCGCCATTTAAGTTGAGTGAAAATACAGATGATTTCAAGAAAAAAATACAAACAGTACTGCATGATTTGACCCGGGCTCGAACCGGGGACCTTCTGTGAACCTTGACACTATGGGTGTTAGACAGATGCGATAACCAACTACGCCATCAAACCACAGTAATATGAGCTCATTAAATATATATGAGCAGCATGACTCCTTATGAGTTCTCTTGAATTGGCTTCCTCGGATCTTTCAATCTGATTGATACAGAGCATTACCTATTTCCTAATGACAGTACACAGAAAGTGTAGTACCCTGCAATTATGAATAATACAAAAGGTTTGTGCTCAATGCATAGTGGTTAGGAGACAGGGGTGAATGATCACAATGCATCAAGTAGAATCAACCAGCAACATGTATGCTGTAAGTAGCTGCTACCAGTAGTAAAGAGCAGAGAAGAATATATTTCTGAAGTGCACCAGGAATATCATTTCGTAGTCTTGCCTTAATTTTTGGAAAATATTAAAGTGCTGCCAGTGTTTAAGTTGCAACAATTTCCTTGGTCCAATCATGCATCAAAATTCAATGAGAAAGTTTGGATATTCCAGCACTGCATTGGGTAGTATGGAGAATGCCATGGTAGTACATTGCGGGCCACTAGAGGCCCACTATGCCAATTTTGACTGGAAGTTAGTCACTACAATCATGAAGCTGAATTTTGTTGGGATTTGGGCTATGCACATAGTGTTTGCTAATTCAAGCTAAATACTATAATATAAGTATAACTGCTGGACAGCTACATTGTGTGCAATGTGTAATTTGTAGCAGTACTACAGCTGTTACATGCGATTGTAGGCCACTGCACCACCGCGCATGGCAAAAACTCGGCTCCTTCCTTGTGGGTTATTAAATATTAATTGAATATCAACACTACAAAAAATTATGTGTTTGTTCCTGCTTGGTCCAATCATTCCGATTGGCTAGACAAATTTTGTCTTAACATAAATGCACGTGCATCATGCAACATTCAATTGACATCACAGACGAAGGAAGCAAGTGGGCGGAGCAGAGCGACGCCCCGAGCGTAACTAAGCTGTGCATCGCACGGGTTACTGCTAGTTATGGAATCAAAAAACGGGGGCGCCTTTCAGGCGCCGACATTGATTTTTTGAGAAAAGCAGAATAAAAGTAAATTTACTTAAACTATCTATGGAGTAACAGGGAGTAACTGAATGAGACGAGAAAAAGTAATTGTGACAGAGGGTCACAGTCCCGTGATATCCCGTGCTGGTCACATTTAAATGAATGTATTCACAGAATGTGACTGAGTACCATATATGGAGAAACTCCTTCCAAGTAAGCAAAGCGAAATAGCATGACGCGACCTACATAAGGACGAGTCTTCCGTAAACTACAGCCTCGTAACTGCTGGCTCTTCTGGGCCATATTTAACACATTTTGCAACCAAAAGAGTTACTCAAAAAACAGTAGGTATATGACACACTTCAAGACTTACCTTATATAATGAAAAGTTGCCATGTTGTTGTTGAATGCAGCTATGTGGTGTTAAGATCATGTATACCATAAAGACATGCCAAGGGCCATTTGGTACCGGAGTGTGGATGGTCAAGTGGGACAGTAGTGAAGTTATTAACAACACCGCCATTACGCCGCTAGTCCCCAGAGAGTAGGGTCAGAGGTAGATGTTAAGATCATGCACACCGTGTAACCGTGCCAGAGGTCACAGAGTGTCTAAGTGCGGAAGACGAATGGGACAGTAGTGAAGTTATTAACAACACCGCCGTTACACCGTTAGTCCCCGGAGATCAAGAGTATAGTAGGGAGGAGCTGAGAAGCAGCCAAGTCGGAGCGGCGGTATCGCCGGTGACGAGGAGCGAACCAAAGAACGTATAAGTCCTAAGGTAGAGTAGAACGTACTTCAAGGTGATGAGCCTGAAGACTTAGAGGAGCACAGAGTGAAAGAGGGAATCTAAGTCGATAATTAAACTGAGGAACTACAGTAGCGTACAAGCAGTATTTATATCTACGGAGCGGCGCAGCGGTGCGGAGCGCCAGACTAACTACTAGGAGTTATATGTGTAGTCCTGCAGGGTAAAGTAAAAGACAATAAGGAGGAGCTAGAATGAATGGGTATGTGTAGCGAGAAAGAACAATAAGGAGAGATTACAATAAACAGTGGATCTTCGGGATACCGAGCGGCGAAGTGGAGGCCCAAGGCATGGACTTGACAGTAGAGGTAATAGTAGCAGCCAGGCCAAGCTTGGCAGTTAAGCTGACAACAGTGAGCCAAAGAACTTATAAGTTCTAAGGTCAAGACAAAGGTGCTCAAGGTATAAGCCTCAAGACTTCAGAAGACAGAGTGAGTGATCAAGGTTGATCTAAGTCAGTCTAAGTCAATAATTAAACTGAGGAACTAAAGTACAGTACAGAAGTATTTATACTAACTAATCGGCATGTTGGGGCGAAGTGGCAGACTAACTAATAGAGGCTGTATGTTTAGTATCATCACAGTAAAGAATAAGACAATAAAAGTAGACTAGGTAGAAAGGAAATGTGTAGCAAGAAAGAACAATAAGGCAAAGATCTCGGAAAGCCAATGCCAGGGCAAAGCGCCGAGCATGGTCTTGACATGCAGTTTACATGCCACTAATATAATCATGTGTTATATTATGTCATATGTAGTCATATGAAGTCATTTACTATATGTGGATTCCTCAGTACTTCCTTACATAATACAATTATGTATATAAACAGGCTGTATCCTGTACTGGAATCCAACTCACTTCTGTCCCACTTATATTGTCTTTGTAAGATTTTGAGTTAACTTCATCCAGGTTGGTGCTTGAGAGTGTCACCACTATGCACCCCTTGCCTGCTCAACAATTGTGATCCTTGTATTCTAACACAAGGCAATTGTGTGGAGCCACACTATTGAGGGTATTGACATGCTGATGTGAGAAGTCTGTAACTTCTGATTGGGGCTGAAATTAGGTTGTCCAAGCTACCTCTTCACAAGAAACACAAATTCCACCCAGTGTTGGTTTTTTAAATGCATCTGGAGTAAGCATGATTTCTCCATGGACATATCCTTCACAATTGTGTAATGCCAGGGTGCCTGATCTTCTTGTCCCAGTATGATGAAACAGTGGAAATGACTTTAATGACTCTGTAGATATATTGTGTTGGATCCTGAGTATAACATCTCAGTAAATCACTGTAACTCTTGGATAGTTCTGGCAAGGGTATCAATTCGGATAACAGCCACACAATTTCTTGTCTGTGAAAAAAATTGATTAACCCATGGACCTTGCTGGAACCTCCTCCTTCTCCATGATCATCAATATAGTTTGGTTAACAGTGGCAGGTTGGTGTGCTTCAGCTTCAACTTGGAAATCATCCTCAAAGTGGCTGAGCTTCTCTCCTGTGAGTCAAGTATTGTGACAAAAGGGAAATTTACCTGAATGAAATCATGATATAATATACTGCCAAAAAAATCACCCTGATCAGCAAGAAATTTTCACCTTTGACATCAGTGAGTTACAGATAATAGAAGCATTGTTTTCTTTTCCCTGCTTAGTGTCCTTTTGATTTTCACCAGGAGAGAATGAAACCACAGTTTTACCAAGATCATCAGAAAATATGTCAAAGTTCTAGGTAGATAGACACCTGTTCTTCAGATGAGATTGAATAAATAGAATTTCATATGCACCTGGACCCGCATAGTTGCTGAAGTTGCTTGGAGATGTAGTCTATTCCAGACTTTGTGCTTTGGTCAGCCATGATCTAGGGAGCTCAAATAAGATACTGACTGCAATTCCATATACCTAAATATATTGTCAATCAACCTTGGAACTAAAATATTTTACATACTCACAATCTGTGAACCAACAACCATTATCTCCCTAGTATTTCCTTCACTCAATAATGATGCAATCAGCTGGCATGTGTATCTCTTATAAGCTACGAGTGACAAAAAGCAACATTTTAGAGCACACAGGGAATCGGAGCTACTTACCAATTAGGAAGAGGAGGGACTTACATCAAAGACAATATAGTGCAAATCCTCTTGTGCTTTTATTCACCTGGATCTCTTGGAACGATGGTCGGTCAAGAGGAAAACCATGTACATGTGCTCCACAACTTCTCAAGCCTGTGGTTGGAAAACAAAGCCTGTTTCAGAGACCCAGAACGGAAGAATGCGTCCACGCGATAAATTGAACGCTCAAAATTCGATTGGCTGGAGTTTGTCGGCGTGACATATCTATTCTAAAAGTGCAGTTTCTCATTTGTGGTTCAAGGACTTGCGACTGGCGGATCCCGGGACCATTAAACGCACTTACGGGACAGTCGGCAGGTGCGGCAACTCCAGCGCTTAAATGGTGAACAAACAGCATCTTTCGGATTTTGACGGGTATCACTCCTACATAGCTCCCAACAGACGTGACGGTGATGCCGGAATTCGCTGAAGAGGCGAATGGCTCTCGGGGTGCACTGCTAGGCGGGTCTTGAATTGAGGCTTGACAATGACTGGTGAATCTCAACATAGTCCTGGATACTTATCGTATGAAATCTGCATCCATTGAAGTGTACGATAAAACCAACCACCGATGAAAACGAACGTTCGTGACAACTATGTAAACGGTATGCAGGCAGCAAGAAAGATATAAAAGACAAAGTGAAAATGAAGAGACAAAGGCATGAGAACAATGTGAAAAGGAGTCCATTCGACGTGGCAGTATCATGCATGGCCATAAGAGAGGGTGACATGCTCTGGCGAGCACTAGGATGGTGACTATTAGTGGGTATCAAATGCTCATGGAAGCTCTAGTATACGAGACGATTTCCGGGAGGGTGAGGACAGCGGCATAAAACAAGGACTACCAAGGTGAAAGACGCAGCAATTATGCAAATCATGACTTCTGCTTCTTCACAGTTTGTGATAACCATTGTAAACCTTCGAACAGACCCTCTCCGGTTGTGGCACAGCTGTTTAACGAACATATCAGTACAAGCACATACAACTTTGAGATAGAAGACTTACCTAGGATGCACATACCACGACCTATCACGCATTTTGTGTAGTCCCAACTTCTCCGTCACCTCCGCTGGGGACATTGCTGTTAACAGAGTCAGTGTTTCAATTGAGATCGAA